TTCTATACGTATTTGAAGAACTTGTAGCAATCCACCACAAATTTAAGTATAAAGGCTTGGTTTGGTCTGATATTTCATTGGTGGTAGTGTCCAGGCTCACAGACACACACCCCAATGAAAGAATAGACCACTATAAGTTTTTACTTGTTGTTAAACAAATGTTTAAACAACTCTACTTATTCAATTACGTACAAGCTGCCCATTGTCGGCTAAAAATACAAAGAATTAAATTGTGGCGGATTGCTACAAGTTCTTCAAATACCTATAGAATGATAGGTTTCTTTTTTGTGAGTGTAAAACACGTAAATACAACAGTTTGATTTACAAAATAATAAGTTAACAATTGTGAAGGAGTGACAAACTACTAATAGCTTGAAATTTAAATTTTCAACTGAACAGTAATTTGTGCACATTTGGGCTGAACAGTCTGTTTAAAGATTCAGTTAAATCCTTTTTAGCTTGGAATTGCTGACCAGAGGGAAGGCAGCCATTCAACAACACCCGCCCCTACAACAAGGTATTTTTTTTAAACTGATTAACTGGGTCAACTATAACTTTTGTAATGGGCCTAAAGTTGAATGTGTGTTTGGTGTTCAGCCATATCACGTCTCGTACCCCCGATTCTTCGCCAACCATTAGGCCACGCCCCCTCCAATTACAGCTTGAACCCGCATTAAATCCATCTACATTTTTTCCAGATTAAAAGATATCCGAAAACATGTATGTCTTGAATAAATTACTTTTCATTTGACGAATAAGAAGCAAACAATAGGCCAATTGTACATCTTGTACCTGTAAAATTGTACAGGTTTAATTGTACATCTTGTACCTGTAAAATTGTACAGGTTTAATTGTACATCTTGTACCTGTAAAATTGTACATCTTGTATCTGTAAAACTGTACAGGTTTAATTGTATATCTTGTACCTGTAAAATTGTACAGGTTTAATTGTACATATTGTACCTGTAAAATTGTACAGGTTTAATTGTACATCTTGTACCTGTAAAATTGTACAGGTTTAATTGTACATCTTGTATCTGTAAAATTGTACAGGTTTAATTGTACATATTGTACCTGTAAAATTGTACAGGTTTAATTGTACATATTGTACCTGTAAAACTGTACAGGTTTAATTATACATCTTGTACCTGTAAAATTGTACAGGTTTAATTGTACATCGTGTACCTGTAAAATTATACAGGTTTAATTGTACATCTAGAATTGAATGAAATGAAATGTAATTTTCAATCATTGATAATTAATCTATTTCATGCAAAAAATACTGTGTTAAAAATAATATTGATTATCTTGCATACTTATATTTTATTACTTAAAGTTATAAGAAAGAGGGCTGAAAATTGTGGATTGCTGAGAGTGTTTGGTTTTGTCAACTAGAAAGTATCTTTGTTATGTCTTCTACATAGCTGCATGGGTTCGTTATATTTTCAGCTATATAGCGATGAAATTGTTTTTTCTTTCTTTACGCGTAGTATTAGGGAAGAGAAGAAGTAATATTTCACAGTTAGGCCAGACAAGTGTTGAGATGAGTGCAAGGCACACAGGGGAATTGTAATACATTATGGTTAGAAAGGATATTTTTCCTGCTAAGTGTTGGAATTAGACTTCCAAAATTTAATAAATCATTCATAGATATACTGTTAATTTGGAGTTAGGATTCTAAAATTTAATAAACCAATCATAGATATAGTCTTAAAGTGCAGTTAGGCTTCTAAAATTTAATAAACCAATCATAGATATAGTCTTAAGGTGCAGTTAGGCTTCTAAAATTTAATAAACCAATCATAGATATAGTCTTAATTCGTTTATATATATGACCTTAAACCAAATTGATCGGATGAAACTGTTATTTTGAAATGATAGGAAAATAAAAATTTCTAAAACGAATCACGAAATCGGTGTTTTTGTTATGTGATTCTCCAGGAAAGCTTATAGTAGAATTATATGGCTGTATCCAGACTTAATTGTGAAAAATGGTATTGGATCCGGAGAAAGGATTAGACGCTCAGTGTAGGACTAATGTTTGGTATGCGTCATCTCACCGATCGATACGATACAGTCTACAAGCCTTATTACAGTTAATGTCTGTTCGAAGCTAAAGTGCACTTGATAGTCATATATATTGTTTAAATCTTTTAAATATAGTTTGGCTGCTGACATAACACCAGTCGGCATTCGCATTTCTCTTTCTTTGTTTCTCTCTCTCTCTCTATATATATATATATGTATTACAGCAAATAATAGCATTACTTCTAGTACCTATTGAAATTTACAGTGCTAACACGTTAAACCATTAGAAGAGTCTTATCAACTACAATGGGCAATTTCTTGTTTCTTTGAACCAATTTTGCTTTGTAGCTGACATATAGAAGATAAACCGTTACATATTAACATTATATAATATTTCAAGGTAAACTAATAGATCAGATATATATTTTATCTAATTTTTACAGATAATGATTAACACCCGATTTGGTGAACTTCTAGATGACAACAAAAAGCAACACAAAACACCGGGTCTTGATCTTGTAGATGATATTAAGACATTACAAAATACCAGAATGATCTTTTGATTTAGATACAAGCTATAGCACCAGATCTTGATCTTGTAGATGATATTAAGACATTACAAAATACCAGAATGATCTTTTGATTTAGATACAAGCTATAGCACCAGATCTTGATCTTGTAGATGATATTAAGACATTACAAAATACCAGAATGATCTTTTGATTTAGATACAAGCTATAGCACCAGATCTTGATCTTGTAGATCATTGTTGTTCTGTGTATTCACGATACCGTTTTCTAAGTCATGTACTTCCTTTATTAATCTGATGCAGTTAGCTGTGCCGTGACAGTCCTTCGTCCACTGGTGGGTCAGCTGAAAGTTTAACGACGTACAGTGCTAAGATCCTGGGTTCGATTCTCCGCGATGGACAGAGTTCAGATAGCCAACTGTGTATCTTTGTATTAAGAAAACAGCACCAATTCCTAAAATGCAGTTCTAATAATTTAAAATAGGAAGTCATGAAGACATTTTGTGTGTGTGTGTGTGTTTTATCGTAAAGCCACATCGGTCTATTTGCTGTGTCCACCAAGGGGAATCGAACCCCTGATTTTGGTGTTGTTAATCCATAGATTTACCGCGATTCCTCCAGCGAGCCACCTTGTCACAGGGAAATGTCGGGCACGTGATAAAATATTTTATGAAGCCTAAAGTCGATTTATGTATTTTTGTTTTAATTTTTAGTGTGTATCACACTTCACATTATTTTGTAAGCACTGAAATATAATAGAAGGCGTTTGATGTGGTTAAAACTGAACGAATTTGAACATGTAGAGCTGAGCCTTGCACATTTACTAAGATATGTGGTTAAAACTGGACGAGTTTGAACTTGTAGAGATAAGCCTTGCATATTTACTAAGATATGTGGTTAAAACTGAAGTGCAAGGCTCAGCTCTACAAGTTCAAACTCGTCCAGTTTTAACCACATATCTTAGTAAATATGCAAGGCTTATCTCTACAAGTTCAAACTCGTCCAGTTTTAACCACATATCTTAGTAAATGTGCAAGGCTCAGCTCTACAAGTTCAAATTCGATTTACTAAGATATGTGGTTAAAACTGGACGAGTTTGAACTTGTAGAGCTGAGCCTTGCATGTTTACTAAGATATGTGGTTAAAACTGGACGAGTTTGAACTTGTAGAGCTGAGCCTTGCATGTTTACTAAGATATGTGGTTAAAACTGGACGAGTTTGAACTTGTAGAGCTGAGCCTTGCATATTTACTAAGATATGTGGTTAAAACTGAACGAATTTGAACATGTAGAGCTGAGCCTTGCACATTTACTAAGATACGTGGTTAAAACTGGACGAGTTTGAACTTGTAGAGATAAGCCTTGCATATTTACTAACATATGACCAATTACTCTTCATTCTACTATATGGCTTCTTAAATTCAAATCACAAAAATATAAGTATTAATCCAGCTCATACAAATAAAATAAGCACAATAAGAATTACAGAACACATTACCTGAATACCTGTATATATATATATATGTTCGATAATTAAGGGGATAGCTGTTTAAAATAGTTACATAGTTCGGAAATTTTGAAAATATGATAGAAAGGTTAACAAATACAGATTTAATTTCTTATCAAAGCGTTGAAATAGGTGATATAAATCATTTTAAATACATTGAACTATACTTTTACCTATTTAGGTGGCGCTACGAACATTTTGATGGAATACTTGACTAAAATTCAACTTTCTGAACAGCTACAGCTAGAAAGTTTTTTTTTAAACAATGAGTACTCCTAAATTAATTGTGGGTAGAATTCCATAAAATTTAGATACCAATGTAAAAGTAGTATCATTAGAGTTTTGTTGAGAAAAAAGATCTCCTAAAGCTTTCTGTTTGCTTATACAGCATAAAGAATGCGAAAAACTAAAGCCGGTGTAACATAAAAGAAGGTCTCTTAAACTTTGACATTTTGCTCACCTTATATACGCCGTGTCTTTCTGTCAGTTTGTCAAATAAACTATACATAGAATTCAACATGGTAACCACTTCCATCGGCGTGATTCTAGAACAGATCTCTGTAAACGTTATGACGTCACTAAAGAGGATGGTTACTGAGTCGAATTCCTGGTGGAAGGTAATAAATAAATAAAAAGGTTTTAGAACAAATAAAGGGGAATTGAAATACGAATTTTGAAACTCCCCATCAAGAAACGTAATATTATTCAGGTAAATTAGTAGGTATTCATTGCAAGTAAAATTAGGGTTATCATTCGGTTACTATGTCAATATTGTTAAATACAATAAAATATGCACATTTACTTACTGTATTTTACAAAGTTAAGTAAATTCGCGATGTTAAGTAGTTCCCATAAGGCTACTCTATTCTGATTTGCTCATTTTTAACACGTAGCTTTAAATAAGATGATTTTATTGGCTCTTTTCTGAATTCAAAACTGCAAATTGCTGGAAGGTTTTCAACAGAACTAGAATGCTTTCTTTTTGAGACACTAAACAGGGGGGATGGAAGCAGCTTTAAAGACAATGTATTATTTAATTATTCTATATATATATATATATATATAAGTGAATAATTATCAAATTATTTATGTTTTGTTATGCTTTGTTTATTAGTACGACTGACTCAGACATTTCTGGTATTTAAACTGGATTATTTTCTTCCCGATTTTCCCTAGTGGCTTGGAGAGTTATGATGACAGAATTCTGAGTTCGATCCCATCAGTGGACACACTACAAATAGCCAAGCTATGCGAGGAAACATAATTCTTACCTGACACGTGTCTACGGATGCTTCTCCTTTCCTAAGCCTATCAGCTACTTGTTTGGGTATCATTTGGTACAACAGTTCATCAGTCCTTCTCATCTCTTTGTCCAACTTTTTCATGGACTTCTCCAGCTGTTGACTTTTTTTAAGTTCCTGTATATAACAGCGTAATATTAGTCATTCCACACACACACACACACAAAAAGCCGGCAGAAATCTAAATCGTTTTTCTAATATTTCAGTGTTTTGAAAGGCCGTTAAAATACTCTGTTTTTTATAAGCTAATTGATAAAGTTACAGCGATGAAGGATACGTAACCATAAAAGAAAACATAGTTACAGACTTTTAATTTAACCAGATTTGTCGATATAACGGTACTGTCAACAATCAGCTAGAAAATTATGGGTTCTGTAATGAGGTTTTATGAGCGAGGTTTGCGAAAATTTTAATGTGTGGCTAATAAATTTGCATTATAAGCCTGTATTCTTATATCAGGGTATTGTTGAGGAAGTATTAATAGAAAATATGCCTAAAATATAACTGTATTTTTTCTATAATTTTTTATATACTCTAGAATTGAGAACTGTCCTTTCTTTTCAGCTCTATCTAAAACACGAATGTTTTCTGAACATTTTCGTTTTAAACTAGACGTACGTAAAAAAAAACAATTACATAAAGACCCCCCACTGCTTCAGTTTCAAAACTGTTTTACTTTTTGGTAGCTAAGCTGTAGGGGGGGGGGATGGTAGCTAAGAGTGGCATCCAGGGAGCATTATGTATAGAATGGAAAAACAATAACGGTAAATGCATCTAGAAAGCTACATCAGGTTATACGTCAGACAGGGTCGAATGATTGGCTGGTTGATAAGAGTTTATTGGCACAAAGCAACGTGGCTATCTGCGCCAAACAACCGGTATAGAAAGTAAAATAATACAACAAGGTAAAATTACAAAATAAACCTAAGCTAAACTATGGCCGTAAATGAGGTTAAAAATTAAATCTAATGAAAAAGTCCAATAGCTCGTAAAAAAAAGCTAAAATCACGATCAATCTGGACAGTGTCACCATCTCCAATGACACTGATCAACTAAAATGTCACAAAGGCCACACATCGGCCTGCAGAGAAAGATGATTAGCCACGAAACAGTGGCTAATGCGTAGCCTACACAAGACAACCTTCTTCCCTCCGATTCTTATGGAAACAAGACGACCAAGCAAAAACAGTAGATTTAATCCGGAAAAGCTTCTTATAAAGATGTTCACTCCAAATCAACTACCAACCGGGCAAATTAAGGCGAGGGCTATTGGGCCTGCAGCCCCATGTCCGGGTTTATAAACGGGCCGTTATGAGGCTTAGTATTTAGTCGCGACCATAATAAGCTCGGTAAAAAAACTTAGCAAAAGAAATTTATAACAACAAAATACCTGGTAATCACTGATAGCATTGAAACCAACTCATGGTAGAACAAGGTAGTTCTACAGTCACTCCCTTCCCTCAAATATGTTGTGTCCCAGTGATCAGTAGTAACAACTTTCAGATCAGCAACAGGGTCGCTGTCTTGGCTAATCTAAAAAGTAATTGATTCGTCATTTTCTTTTGTCCCAGTTCATTTGAGAAGCACAAACGATTTACTAAACAATTTGAAAGATCTTCTGTTCCCTCAACCCTCTCTCTACCCCTCCAATCCTATTTATGAAGAATTAGCAACCATAGTGGACACCGCAGAACAACATCACGTGGATCTAAGTCATTGTTTGTTTGTTTTGAATTTCGCGCAAAGCTACACGAGGGCTATCTGCGCTAGCCGTCCCTAATTTAGCAGTGTAAGACTAGAGGGAAGGCAGCTAGTCATCACCACCCACCGCCAACTCTTGGGCTACTTTTCTACCAACGAATAGTGGGATTGACCGTCACATTATAACGCCTTCACGGCTGAAAGGGCGAGCATGTTTGGTGGGACGGAGATTCGAACCCGCGACCCGCAGACTGCGAGTCGAGCTCCTTAACCACCTGGCCATGCCGGGCCCCTAAGTCATTTTGGCATTTCTATGGAACTTTTAGAAAAATGTATTCATTTTATTCTGACCAATAGTTATTTTCAATTAGATAAAACATAGAAAAACAACAGGGTTACCATGGCTTTTGCTGTAGTATTTATTCATAGCTTAGAAAGTAGTCCACTAACTTCATGATCCAAAACAGAATGGTGAGAATCCTGTCTTGTGGTTAAGATATAGTAATGACATCCTTGAAAATTTGGTCTTCTATCTTACACGGACTTCAAACTTTTCTTAGACACCTGAACAGTGTACATCCAAACGTTTGCTCTCGAACACTCAGCGGATGATAATCATTTCGGTTTCCAAGACGTCCTTTTTTATTATTCCCAAAGCAAACTTGTAACAAGCGTGTACCAAAACCGAGTTCTCTACTCTCTTATTAACATCACCATATTTATTGAAAAAAAACAAAACACCATTTACAGAACAAGTCATTAAGAAATACCGTATGTGTAATTCTAAAGAAATCAAAGTTAAGGACATATGTTTGATCTGAATAGTTATCCAAACAGTTTTAGTTGTGATACAAATTATGAGAGCTATTAAGATGATGCACAGGAGAATTAATATACTTTCAAAAAGGATGACACACGTAAGTTTGTGTCATGAACTGTTTTCTTACATATGTGCTAAGCTTAAAATACGCTTGCGATCAGTTGTCCGACGACGGCTATCTGTGGTAACACTCCCGACTTTAGCAAATAGTCAACACCACCCACCACCAACTCTTGAGTTACTCTTTTACCAATGAACAGTGGGATTGACTGTCACATCATGAGACCCCCACGGCTGAAAGGGCTAGCATGTTCGATGATAGGGATTCGAACCCGCGACTCTCAGGTTGCGAATCGAGCGCCCTAATCACCAGGCCCAGTTGTCCGGTGATCAGGCTTACCTATTAAAATTGTACAAAAAAAAAGGGTACAACACTTAATATGAGTTAATATGATCTGCATAAAGTACTGATAATGTTTCCGAGAAAAGGACGGGTTTCACTAAAGATGAGAAAACAGGGGGATAGATGCACAGCGCGTAGTGCCATTGAGAATTTTAAATCTCGTGCATTACAATACACATTTGTTGTAAGGGCCTTAAACCAGTTTAATAAAGGCACGAGTGCAGTAGCGGATAGTTAGTTAAAGAAGCATAGCAGACATACGTCTAATTGTCCTTTATAAAAAGGAATTCTGGGCACATCTAATGATTTTCTTGATTGTAAATACAGGAAAAAAAAACTTTACTGATTTCTAAATTCAAGCCAGAAATCAGTCGAGATAACGGATGGGCATTATGTAATAGTTGTTTGTTTGTTTTAGAGCAAAGCCACCTTGGGCTATCTGCTGTGTCCATTGCAGGGAATCGAACCCCGGATTTTAGCATTGTAATTTCGTAAACTTACTGCTGTTCCACGTGATATGGTTGTAGCTTCTGTAGTTGTACGTCTTTCCTCTTACAGTATTTAATCTATACATGGATTCTTTTCGGTCATTTTTTAATTCGATTAACTATTTTATTAAATAGAAAATCACTTTTTTAACCTTGCGTGAAGTAAGAAGTGTTCTTTAGATTATGTGCTTTAGTGTAAGAGCTTTATTGACTAACGTCATTATTATTTTATTTTCTAAACAACGTAATGTTTTTATACCTCAAACTTTTGTTTGTAATTAAGCTACACAATGGGCTATTCTGTGCTCTGCCCACCACGGGTATCGAAACCCGGATTCTAGCGTTGTACGTCCGCAGACATACCGTTGTGCCACTGGGGGCACTTCAAACTTTTTCGTAGCCACCTTACAATAAAAAAAACTTGAATTTTTAGATTAAAAAGCGTTGTTTGTGCCAGTGTATAGCTTTATAAAAGTCTCTCTTTCAGCGTTTTTTATATCAGTCATTAAATCTAGATTAGTTTTTTGCTATAAACTTTAACTCAAGTTTATTAATGAGATCAATTAAAAAGATGCAAATAATGACAAATTTGTTGGTAAATAGTTCCATATCACCATTTAGCCTTTCTATATAGATTATTGTAGTTTAAATAAATTTTATCTCCTACCGGTGTTTTAAGGAAACAAAATAACCCAAGTTCCTTTTATTTATAAATATTGAATAATAATCTGCGCAACTTTTACATTACTCATACATAATTCGAGCAGCATGAATTAAATATCAGCCAAACAAGCATGCCATGAAAAGATAAAAAACTCTAGATTCTAGACTTAATGACTTGCTCTTAGAGAGAAAGAGAAAGAAAAAAAACAGCTACATTTTGTGTTTCTAAGAATCTTTTTCGAGGGAACAGAAGGAAGACCGTCTAACTTTTTTGAGAAATAAGCTCTTGCAGAATAACTCTATAACCTCAAACACAGCACCGAGAACGGCTTGAATATATTTTTATGAACTCAGTACTGTATGTGAGCGATTTCTTGTGTAGTGTTTGACAACAAATTTAAAGGCCCAGACATATTTTTGAAACATTTTGTTGGTCCGGAAAAACTGAGCTTTAAGGAAATATAAACTTTGTCGGGAATAATATTTCAAATTAACTATTTATTTATATATATATATATTCTTGCTAAACGAGATACTTGTTGCTTATTTCTATTAATCTGAAAAAGATATGGAGCGGATGTTTTTAATATGATGTAAAATTGTATCGATCTGTTCAAAAACGTAAGAATAGCAACATTTGGAACACATGTGAAATAACAATGCAGTGACTCTATAAGTCACAAGTATGGAATATTAATAATAACTTAACTCTATACACGAGACAAAACTGTTGACCAGATTAGGTATATTCTCACATGTGTTGTCATCCTTCTAACTTATAGAGTCACTGCATTGTTGTTACATCCTTGTAACTTATAGAGTCACTGCATTGTTATTCCATCCTTGTAACTTATAGAGTCACTGCATTGTTATTTCATCCTTGTAACTTATAGAGTCACTGCATTGTTATTCCATCCTTGTAACTTATAGATTCACTGCATTGTTCTTCCATCCCTGTAACTTGTAGAGTCACTGCATTGTTGTTACATCCTTGTAACTTATAGAGTCACTGCATTGTTGTTACATCCTTGTAACTTATAGAGTCACTGCATTGTTCATCCATCCCTGTAACTTGTAGAGTCACTGCATTGTTATTTCATCCTTGTAACTTATAGAGTCACTGCATTGTTGTTAAATCCTTGTAACTTATAGAGTCACTGCATTGTTATTCCATCCTTGTAACTTATAGAGTCACTGCATTGTTATTCCATCTTTGTAACTTATAGAGTCACTGCATTGTTGTTAAATCCTTGTAACTTATAGAGTCACTGCATTGTTATTCCATCCTTGTAACTTATAGAGTCATAGCATTGTTATTCCATCCTTGTAACTTATAGAGTCACGGCATTGTTATTCCATCCTTATAGCTTACAGAGTAACTGCATTGTTATTCCATACTTCTAACTTATAGAGTCACTGCATTGTTATTCCATCCTTGTAACTTATAGAGTCACTGCATTGTTATTCCATCCTTGTAACTTATAGAGTCACTGCATTGTTATTCCATCTTTGTAACTTATAGAGTCACGGCATTGTTATTCCATCCTTATAGCTTACAGAATAACTACATTGTTATTCCATACTTCTAACTTATAGATTCATAATATTGTTATTCCATTCTTCTTACTTAGCTGAAGTACTTACAGACGGAACTTATGAAAATATATTAGAGCTATAAAAATTGAAAAATGAAAACAAAACAATGAAAGAAAAGCAGATAAACTTCAAATCGGAAAATAAGCTTTAGAAACGTTTTCGAAGCAATATAGGACGTAACTATTATTGATGCTCTAAGCAATTTGTCTACCTGAGTAATGAAAATATATGCAAGTACAACACTACAATGCAAGAATACAAACAAATGACGATGGCAGAAAGATTTGGAGAAAATATTTATGGTCAATAAAATAATTCAAAACTTTGATTTATCGGCTTAATCGACCCTGTTTGATGTTTCCACCCTGAACGCCCCCTTTTAGTGACACGTGGAGTAGACGGCCAGGTCAGAGACCTCGAGGTTCAGACATAGTCCTCTCTAAGTAGAGCTGCTGACCAGAAGCCTTCACAACTGAAATACCAAACGCGTTCAGCAGCATGAGGAGGGGGCTCGATCCTTATACCTTCTGATCGACCACCTGGCACGCTACCAACTATGTCAGAAATTAGACTTAGGTATTTCCAACACAGGTATACCTAATAATTCTATCTATGTAGATCTTCCCCGGTGGAACAGCTGATCCACTGAGGGACTTAGCCAGTTGAAGTCCAGATGAAACGCCGAAATGAGTTAATGAATTCGCCTATTAACACCTAACTACACTGTCGTAATGTGTTGTAGAAATGGACGAAGACCAGAAGATCTGATGTGGAACTTAGGACTATCTAAAATTAATTATCGTTCTGTCCTTATGAGCTTTCAAGCGAATTATGAAATAAAACAACATTCTGACAATAACGTATCTAACTTTATCAGCTATATTTTTGTACACGTAAACCTCCGTTATTCTGTTTTAGGTTTGTTTTAGCAGGCTTGATGGCAAATGCTCAATACTTATAATGCCCATAATCCACTTTTAATTGGGAAAGTTGTTATTGCAAGACCGATAACTTATTGGTCAAAGGTCAGATTCATTTAAGCAGAGTAATCTTTACTTTTTTTTGCAGTCTTTACTTAGTTGATCCAGGATCAATTTTAGTTCAGTAGATTGTTTTATGTAGCATGTACACACCTGTCCCAAGTACAGTACATTGTTTTATGTAGCATGTACACACCTGGCCCAAGTACAGTACATTGTTTTATGTAGCATGTACACACCTGGCCCAAGTACAGTACATTGTTTTATGTAGCATGTATACATTGTCTTTTGTAGCATGTACACGCCTGGCCCAAGTACAGTAAATTACTGTACTTGGGCCAGGTGTGTACATGCTACATAAAAGCTACAAATGACAATGTAATGTACACACCTGGCCCAAGTACAGAACATTGTCTTTTGTAGCATGTACACACCTGGCCCAAGTACAGTACATTGTCATTTGTAGCATGTACACACCTAGCCCAAATTTAACATATTGTTTTTTGTAGCATGTACATTTGTCCACGTTCAGCCCACCTTTTGTGAAGCCCGAAGAATCCAGTGCTTACTTGATCTAACGCCAGCTTCAGTTCAGCAGATTGTTGTTGATGAGCTAGCACCATATCCCTGCTAAAATCATGCATGCTGAGGTCGTTGATAAAGATTTCAGTCTTGATCATGGAGTCCAAGTCTCTAATACTGAAAAAAAAAGAAATCGTCAAAAAAATAGTGAAGTCCCGAAAGAAATTATCTGTTATGTGGCAAAAAGAATAGAGAAATGTAGTGAAATTTGACAGATAGGTTGCGGTTTTCACAAGTCGTTCCAAAATCCCCCCTGTTAACACTTTAGTTGTTGTGATGAGATCAAGAAAAGTGTGATTCTGTAAAATTAGTTAAGTACTTACGATAAAGATGTGGTGATCAGATATCAATTGTTGTCATGACAGTAGCCTAAACGATTACCTACATGTAATTATTAATAGTAAGTAATTTTACTAATATTTTTATTTATTTTTTATATATTTTGTTTACTTATATTTATAACTAGATACTAATTATGAATTCATTTTTATCTTATATTTTTCGACTGTTAATCTGCTTCCTTCAACAGGGAAGTCCTGAAAAGGACTATTTATTATTAATTGGTATTGAACGGAATTCGATCCTGGGTCTTTATGTTATCTAGCCGTAGTGTAAAAGCCATTAGTAATTAGTTGCATAATAACTAATTAAAGAATATTACAGAAAAACAGATGTAATTAATAACAATAATAAAATTTGTTACTAATTAATAAGTAGACTTAAGTGATCGTATAGGCAAATAACCATTTAAAGTCGAAAAGTAAAAGAAATATAAATAAAATAGTCCTTAGCATAACGTCTTGTACACAATAAAATAGTCCTTAGCATAACGTCTTGTACACAATAAAATAATCCTTAGCATAACGTCTTGTACACAATAAAATAATCCTTAGCATAACGTCTTGTACACAATAAAATAGTCCTTAGCATAACGTCTTGTACACAATAAAATAGTCCTTAGCATAACGTCTTGTACACAATAAAATAGTCCTTAGCATAACGTCTTGTACACAATAAAATAGTCCTTATCATAACGTCTTGTACACAATAAAATAGTCCTTAGCATAACGTCTTGTACACAATAAAATAGTCCTTAGCATAACGTCTTGTACACAATAAAATAGTCCTTAGCATAACGTCTTGTACACAATAAAATAGTCCTTTGCATAAAATAGTCGAGGAAAATTTTTCTTTTAGGACTATAAACATCTGTATGTTGTATGCCTTTATAAAAAATATACTTGAAATAACCAGAACCAACTAATAAACTTGATCAAGATTTTACTTTTTTCTGTATTTTTGATCTGTTTAATAATTATTAACGCTTGATGTGGCACTATCACCTATTTTATAACAGTTTTGTTTCTTCAATATTTCCCACTTCTCGAGACAAATATTTAGTAATTTATCGCGTGTGTGTATATATTATATGCATAGTTATTTTATTACTAGTTGTGAAATTTATCAGTTTGTTTTTATCGTATTAAATCTTTTATATTTCAGGTGTATATATTTTTCTATTCTGATGTCCCTTTTATGAACTATAATATTTCTTACAGCGATAACATACGTCACCTTCAGCAACTGTTGACGAGGTAATTATATCCTCAATATAAAAAAATAACATACCTCACCTTTCAACAACCGTTGATGAAGTAATTATATCCTGAACATAAGAAAAATAACATACCTCACCTTTCAACAACCGTTGATGAAGTAATTATATCCTGAACATAAGAAAAATAACATATCTCACCTTTCAACAACCGTTGATGAAGTAATTATATCCCGAACATAAGAAAAATAACATATCTCACCTTTCAACAACCGTTGACGAGGTAATTATATCCTGAACATAAGAAAGATAACATATCTCACCTTT